TACACAATTCATAGCTCGCTCACCATAGCACATACCCTCCCACATGTCCATCATCCAGCTACCCCATCCCTCCCACCCCCCACCACTCCAGCAACCCTCAGTTTCTCTCCTGAGATTAAGAATTCCTCATATCAGTGAGATCATATGATACTTGTCTTTCTCAACGCTTGGTACCTGTCAGTGATTCTGTCGTGCCTTTGCGGAGATTACCTATGGATTTTAAATCTCCCCTTTTTAGAATTTTTTTTTTAGATGTCTTGGTGGGACTTAGAGGAAATGTTTGCTTACTAAAGGCAAAGACCCTCTCAGGTAATGGAGGGAGCCTCTAGCCTCCACCCCCACCTCTGCCGTGACTTAACTCTGCAACGTGTGCTCATATATGAGTTCTGATGTCCCCAAGGCAGCCACCCAGGCTCAGAGACAGGGCCTCCTCAGCTCTTTGGTTACTTGCTTGATGAACTCTGTGCTGCAGAGACACCAGTGTGACCAGGCAGTTATCTGCTCCCTCAAATGTCTCTGTAGAGACTGTCACACATACACTGAATCATAATCTCCTCCGTAACTGGCTGATAAATGCATCAGGGACAGTGGTGACACCAGGCAGGTGGGTCGGGTCTGTCTGGGTTAGTCAGGAAACTCTGCCCAGAAGGAACCATTCAAGTGGGGTTTCAAGGCTCAGAGTGGATCGCCCAGGTAGAAAGGAAGAGGATAAAGTTCAAAGGCAGAAAGTACAGCCTGAGGAAAGACGTGGGGACTGCAAACGTCCGGGTGAGTCTGGGGAAATGGACACAGAGACAGGAACAGACCAGAGTGTGGTATTTCAGGAACATCTCTGGGGTCTGAGGCAGGGAGGCCTTGAGGCAGGGTGTTCTCTGATGGAGTGTCTCCTGAGCAAGAGAAGATGAGGCTTCACCCTTGAGCTGGAGAGAAAGGAGGGGATGGCTTCCGAAGGTGTCTCTGTTTAGCCGCTTGGCTAGAAATGAAACTGACTTTGCTTAGTAATCTTTAACATCATTTGATTTTAATCGACTAAAACCAACCCTCCAGCCCAGCGCTGCCCAAAGGAAATATAATGCGAGACATATCACATAATTTTAAATGGCCTAGTAGCCATATTTAAAAAAATAGAAAGAAACAGGTTATTTTTTATAATATATTTTATTTAACCTAATATATCCAAAATACTACCATTTCAACGTGCGGTCAATATAAATAATTGTTAATGGCGTTTTGGGGCCTTCTTTGTGCTACATCTTAGAAATCTGGTGTCTGTTCTTACACTCATGGAACATCCCAGTTGGGTAGCCACATTTCCAGGGCTCTGTGAGCCACCACGTCTTGGACAGTGCAGCTCTAGCCTTACTCACACTCTGGGCAACTGGCTTTTCTGGACTTCTGATAGACACTTACCCACAGGAGCTGGAAAATAGAAACTATAAATGATATTTCCTAATGGCAATGCAAGCACATGTTTCTAGGCACAGGCAGGAGAAATGACCAGCAGGATTATTCCTTCTTTCCTCTTCAGGGGTGACCGTTAAGAATCTTCAGGCCTTCCAAGTCCTACAGAATGTTTTCCACAAAGCCAGCAACCCCGTCCTCTGCACCAAAGTCCTGGCAGCCATCAGGACCATGTGGGCCTGGAATGCCCGCAACTTCTTCCTGCTAGAGTGGACCCTGCAGCCCATCTCGCAGTTTGTGGAGATCATGCCCCTGAAGGCAGCCCCAGTGCAGAAGCACTTCTTCCAGCTGCTGGAGGCCCTGGTGTTCGAGCTGCATTATGTGCCCCACGAGATCCTGCGGAAGGTGCAGTGCCTGATCAAGGAGAGCCCTGAGTCGCCCTGCACCCTTGTGGCCCTGCAGAGTGTCCTCAGGATAGTCGGCAGGGACCTCCTCTTCACTGACATCTTCCGGGACTCCGGTCTCCTGGGCCTGCTGCTGGCCCAGCTGCGGAAGCGGGCCAAGATCCTGAGGAAGTCAGGTGCCTCCCAGGAGCGTCGGGAGGGGTAGGGGGAGCAGGCTGGGGGGTCTCCGTGCCACTCTGCCACCCATCAATGTAACAGGAAAAGTGAGCGTGCCCATGTCACCTGGCACCATGAGGGTTGGACAAGGGGCATGTGGATTTGCAGAGCAGGCAGCCCCTCTATTTCCTGTAACTGGACTGATCTTCCCCAGGAAGAGGCCAGAGGGATGGGTGTACCTTTAAACAGACTCATGGGGCTAACTCAGGCCTGATGAATTCTCAGCTTGCAGATATGTCCTGCACTGGATGGTGTCTGAGTATGTAGATGGAGAGACGTCAGGGGGGCAAGGGAGCTCAGAGAGTCCTGGGGCTCTGGCAGGGCAGAGGGTGGGGGACGTGTGTGTGTGTGTGTGTGTGTGTGTGTGTGTGTATTGGGGAGGGTCAGCTGGTACACAGCCTCCTTTCGGTGCTATCGGGCGCAATGATCTCCCACCTGGAGCAGTGATCACTGCTGCCTGGCTTCCCCCTCTAAGTCTTGTCCCACTTCTGGGTCCTTCTGGCACCTGTGGCTCCTTGGCAACATCCCTTCACCCTTACCTTGGCCCTGGGCTCTCAACCTCAGCAGCCTCTGCTGCCCCCATGGGACTTCAGGCTCCCTTCTGTCCAGGCGGGAGTGCTGGCCTGGGCTCTCTCACTGCCTGACCATGCCCCATGCACACACCCTGCTGTGGTTTGTCCACGATCCCCACCTCCACCAACCTGCGGATAGGAGCCAGGGCATGAGAACTCCTTTCCCAGTTCTTCCTGGCTTTCCTGTACCTGCCCCTCTGGGCTTTCAGCTTAGAGAAAGCACACTAAGACTCTGAATCCAGTCACTTACCTCTTCCCACCTTTTGGCCTTTTCTCCTTCTGCACTGGCTGGGAGGGGCGGAGGGCTCTCTAGCCATTGGCTGCTTTTGGAATTGGGCTTCAGACTCAAGCTAACGTCATCCGTCTTGTCTGTTCCCTGGGCCTGATTGAGGGGAAGAAGCTGAGGGAGAGAGTATGGGCATTGGGGCCAGACAGCCCTGGATGGGAATCCTGGTCATGATCCTTACGAGCTGAGTGATCCTAAGCAAGTTACTTAACCTCTCTGAGCCGCTTTCCTCCTCTGTTAAATGCGTGCAAGAATGTTTACATCATAAGGATATGGTCAGCATTAAATGAGGAAGTACTGGGAAGGTCTCCCTGCTGCACCTGGAGCATCATGGGTGCTCCAGAAATGTTAGTTGTCTTCTCCCCTGTGGCTTCTGTGGTACTGCATGGAGGACTGAGATAGACAGGTACCTTTGGGAGGCCAGGAAGGACTCACATCTCCCTGGGAGTGTTTGCAAGTCGGGTCAAAATTGAGGATGAGGAGCTCCCAGCTTTACATATCTGGGCCTCTGGGCTGGGCCTTGGAGACCATTTTTCCATGTGCTTTTTTCTGCTGCCCTTTGCATAGTCTTTTTGTTTAATGTTTCTGTGTTACCTTATTGTATATTGCTTCTCAGCAGCCTGCTATTGAATTTCCTTTTAAATCCAATCCCCAGACCTATGACCATTCCCAGCAGAACTGGAACTTTTTTTGTGAGCTGATGTATCCAGTCTTACTTTGTGCTTTCTATTGTTATAATGTTATAACACTATTTATGTTTCTATTGTTACAGTGTCTAGTGTTTCTATTGTTTCTTATTCTTCTTAGATAATTTGTCTCCTGGTTAATGAACTCTACCTTCATTCGTTCATTCATGCATTCATTCATTCATTCCCCAAATAGGTATTGGGCTTCCCTCTTGTGTCAGGCACTTTTCTGGCACTCAGGACTCAACAGTGAACACACAGGCCTGGTTTGCCCTCATGAATCTACTGGAAACACCCATCCGCTCCAGAATCTGTCAAGCCTCTCCACACCACACGTGTGAGCTGGCAGTCCTCCATCCCAGGCATGAATGGCAAAATAAAAAACTGTCCAAAGGGAAGTCAAAGGGGAGGGCTTTGGACATTATATAGAGTAGTGGTTCTCAAAGAGTGGTCTTCAGAGAATCTCCATCAGCATCATCTGGGAACTTTAAAAAAAATGCCGTTATAGAATCCCACCTAAGACCTCCTAAGCTAGAAACTCTGGGGAGGAATTCTAGCTTCTGGATTTTAGCAAGCCTCCAGGGAATTTTGATGTGCTTAAGTTGGAGATCCATGGCTATAAGGAGTTATAGGGTGACTTCTTCTGAATTGGGATGCATGCTCCCTTATAATAGAAGCATTATATTCTCATTCCCTTAAGAGTATAGAAAACTAATGGAATCAGAGATTTGGGGTCATACTATGTGTACTTAAGATTTTATTTATTGCTTCTTAAATATAGCAGGAAACAAAGACTCCACGCTTGGTGTTCAGGATACAGAGAGAGAATTGACCTGCGTGATGCTGAGAACCATAGTCACACTTCTGAGAGGCTCAGTACGGAATGCAGGTAAGGATGGTACCAAACTCATCTTGTCACTGCTTGGTAAAACATCAACTGTCTCTGGTGATTTATGTCAGTGTTTCAAGGTTATATCCAAGGAATAACCAACACTAAAGCTGTGGCCAATGTCCATTTGCTGGTTGATGTCCAGTGATCATCAGTAAATTCGTAGACATCTTGGTTGACAGATTTTACTTTTAAGGTTGCTAAATAAGGTTGGGATAGAGATATCCTAAAGAGATACCCTAAATTTATGAGACCACAGAATGCTCCCCACCTCTTTCAAGTAAAATCTATCAGTATCCTGCTGCACCGACTAAGGTGCTTTTTAAAAAAATCAGAATTGTAAAATATAGGTAAAGGAAACTAATCATTTTTTTTTAATCTTAAGGTAATCCCCATACATTACATCATTAGTTCTAGATGAAGTGTTCCATGATTCATTGTTCGTGCACAACACCCAGTGCTCCATGCAGAACGTGCCCTCCTCAATACCCACCACCAGGCCAACCCATCCTCCCACCCCCCTCCCCTCTAGAACCCTCAGTTTGTTTTTCAGAGTCCATCGTCTCTCATGGTTCGTCCACCCCTCCGATTTCCCCCGCTTCATTCCTCCCCTCCCGCTACCTTCTTCTTCTTCTTTTTTTTTTCTTAACATATCTTGCATTATTTGTCTCAGAGGTACAGATCTGAGATTCAACAGTCCTGCACAATTCACAGCGCTTAACAGAGCACATACCCTCCCCAGTGTCTATCACCCAGTCACCCCATCCCTCCCACCCCACCCCCCACTCCAACAACACTCAGGGAAACTAATCATTTTTAAGAGGCTTCCAGCCCATGATGAACTTGGTAGCTCCATCCATCCAAAACACTTTTAGCTTCCCAAGATCATGTGACTTCCGTGTTGTTTTTTTTAAATAGGTGCATTAACTATGCATGTGTATATATTATGTTATGAAGCAGATGTATCAACAAAGGGACATCAGTAGGTTTGATGATTTGGGATGTTTTTATCTGAACCTCTCATAAATCAACGATACCAAATGTGAATGATTATTTCATATGCAGAGTCTCTATTGTTAGACTATAAAAGATTCTCTGGAGGTACTGGTTAAAATGCATATTCCTAGGTTCACTCCCAGAGATTTAATTAGTACCAGGTCAAGGTAGAACTCAGGAATCTACTTTTTTTGTTTTTAAGTAGGCTCCATGCTCCACATGGAGCCCAGTGTGGGGCTTGAACTCAAGTTTATGAGATCAAGAGTCAGATGCTTAACTGACTGAGCCACCCAGGCACCCCAGAAATCTACTTTAAAACAGGCTTCCAAGGTGATTTCCATGTAGGGCTGCCTGGCCCATAAGTGGAGAGATCCTGTCTCACGGAGTCGACAAGCTCAAATGCACATCATGCCGCTTGATTCAGTTACTTCCTAGTTCTTATTTCCACACATGATCACACCAACTATCAATCCTGCAGAAGAAATTCTTAGGATTACTTTTAAACAAAAGCATACCACTAGTCAAAGTTCTTTAATCCCCCCAGTCCAGGAAACTAGCTCAGAATTAAGTATGTTCATAACTTCAATTCTGGTTTGTTTTCAGTAAGAATTTTGGCAGAAAAGAGAGAGAATTGCCATTGGCCTGGGTTAGGGTATTAAGTGGCAATAAAGGGCAGAGGTATTACCCAGTTAAAGTTTGTATTAGGTAGGTTTCTAAAAAAAAAATTTACTGAAAAATTTTTTGAAAAAAATTTCAAAAGCAGAATTTTCATTGAATAAAAAAGCAGGTTTGGTTTGTTTTTTTTTTTGGTTTGGCTTGTTTTTGTTTGTTTGTTTGTTTGTTTTTAATTGCTCCACAGCTTCAGCTTCTCTTTTCCTCTTCTCATTTTAACAGTGGGTTGGATTTTGAAAAAAAAAAAAAAAGAGTTTGTAGTGGGCAGAGGACATGCATATGAAGGGAACAAAACAAACTTGGATGTTGTAAGAGAAAGCTTTCTTGTCATTAAAGCTAAGGTGCCGAGACCCCATTGCTCTAGCCCCATACTGTCTGTCTGGTCCACAGTTGTCCTGAAAGACCACGGCATGGTGCCCTTCATCAAGATCTTCCTGGATGATGAGTGGTACCGGGAAGCCTCACTCAGCATCTTGGAGCAGCTCTCAGTCATCAACGCCGAAGAGTACATGAGCATCATTGTGGGCGCTTTGTGCTCATCCACTCAAGGGGAGCTGCAGCTGAAGCTGGATCTTCTGCAGGTGATGTCAAGGCTTCCTTTGTGATGGGCTTTCCCACGGACAGGTAGCCGGTGATCAGCATTTGCGCAGGCATTCCCTCGGTCACTGTATTGTCCAGGTAGGGTAGCACTAGCTGCTATCACAGAGAAATCCCACATCCTCAGCAGCCTGACACATGGGGAGTTTCTTTCCTTTGTCCGGTTCAATCAGTGGTGGAGGGAGACACCGTTCAGGGACAGCTGTCACCTGGGCATCTCATCCAGCCAGGAGACAAAGAAAGGAGCACGAAGAGTTGCACGAGGTGTTCTGCAGGCCTGCACCTGGCACACGTGAGCGTCTGTCCAACTTTCTTTGGGCACAACTCGTTTGGATACGAGGGGTGTCAGGAAAGGTAGTCTGGCTGGGCAGCTACCTCACAGCAACACTGTCAACTGAGGAAGTGGAGTCTGAGTTAGTGGTGGCCAAGCAGCTGCCTTGTTTAGTTGACCAGCATTTAGTGAGTGTCTACCCCCTAGGGGCCGAGTGCCTGGGACACACAGCGACTGGGGCTCATAAGAAGAGAGCCATCATTGTGATGCACTGTGGTCATGCCCTGGAAGGTAGTGAGCGCAGGCTTAGCCACGGGAGCAGAGGAGTAGGAGAGCCCGGTGCTGCCCCGCATGTTGAGGAAGGCTTGCAGAGGAGGATGTTGGAGCTGGGACGAGGATGTAAGGGGCAGGCAGAGGCCTGGCCACAGAGGACAGAAGGGGAGGAGTAAAACTGGGGTGTCACTGTGGGTAACCAAGATGAGTATATTTTGTTTTTGTAACATTGTTAAGGATCATCAAATAATCATAACACAGTTAAAGCGATAGCACCTGCCCTCACCACCATCCCTTCTGCCTTACAATTTTGTTGTTCTTGCTTTTCCATTCCTTTTGTCTTTGTGGCCTTAACACGTATTTTAAAATTCCCTCTCTTTTGTTATGTCCTGTTGAAGAGAAGAGCAGATGTAAATGCAAGTACCCCCCAGGGGCCTCTCACATACTCATGCAGCACAGCCCTGTGCACAACACACACTCGTGTCTCGGTGACATACTACCCTTGATCATCAGTGAATTTTAAAAAAATATGGAGTTGCTCTGACTTCAAAAATTAAACCAGTGGGCTTACTCAGCCATGACTATTTCTGTACAAAACCATGTTAACATTTAGAGGATGGCGCTTCGTTTCTTTTACCTACTTGTTTCTCCACAGAGCCAGTCACGGTCATGTGATTGTCCGACATGTGTGTTCCCATCATCACGTGGCCTGAGCTTGCGTGCTTGGCATGGCCAAAGCGTCACGAGAAGCCGATCCAAAAGGGTCAGAATGACCATAATTACCATGCATTTCACAGATGACCCAAACCAAAACAGTGGTTTAGTTATAGAGCCAAAGAAATCAGTTTTATATGAAATAAAACCGGACTTACATGAAACAAAAAGTTAACTATCTTTTGAAAGATAACTAGAGTCCCATGATCATGTGAGGTAAAGGGACTGAGAGGGCCATGGGAGGGAGAGTAAGGGAGAGAGATATCAAGAATTAAAGGCAATTTACAGCTCGGGATGACTTGAGCTTCATGTGGTCCAGTCTTAATGTTCCAGCAGGGACATGTCCAGAAAGCGTCTAATATAAATTGTGAGTTGAGCTTGAATCTAAGACTAGTGACTTAAAATCTAGGGATCTTTCCTCTTTAGCATGCTGGTTATTACATTTTTTTCTCACATGTCTGTCTTCAGCCTGATTCACACGAGTTTTATGCTGATAAGCAACAGAGAAGGCATGACCAAAGTAGTCAGGACTTTGGTTTCCTGGTGGGTGAATCATTGGAATCCCCATCTGTTTCTCATATTGAGAGTCAAACAGATCCACAGAGAGGAAAGTTTTGGCTTTACTTTACTTGGAGAGAACGAGTGTTTCTGTGTCCATTATAGAGTACCCTGCTTTGCTCAGGAGAAGTTCACCTTATTTACTCTGTGGCCCAGAGGCACCTTATTGGAGTGTCAGCCCTTGGGTAATAGGACTGAATTTCTAGAATTAGCAATGTAAAGTCTTTCTGGTGTTTTACAGATTTAATATCATTTCAGAATCTTGCTATCAAGGGATTAACACTGTGTAAGCTTATTTAACAAAGTCATACCCTGTGTTCAATGTGCCATCTTCTTGCTGGGTGCCAAGTTACTGCTGGGCGGTTGGGGGGTGGCGCCTGGAGCTGCTAGGGCTCTCCCAGGACCAGGGCTGTAGACACGTTGTTGCTCCAGTGGGTGGTGGGGAGACATGGGGCTGTTCCTGACTGGCCCACCACCGAGTCACGTGAGTCACTATCCAGTGTTTGCTGGAGTCTGAGATGGAATCTTCTTTTGTTCTAAACATCTTGGGAATCCATTGAAACTTTAGAAAGATGGAAAATTAGTTCTTTCTGGCTGGATCTCCCTTTTTAGAAGTTGAGTGTGTACGCTGCCCAAAACACTGTGCCTGCAAAATGAGTCAGATGTAGGATGGGGGGAAGTGATGGAGTGAGGTGACCTCAAAGGCAGTACCCTCTGCCCTCTCCCCTCCGCAAGGTTTGCCATCTCTGACATGCATCCATATCCAGGTGTGACCCTCACTTCCCTTCCCTGAGATAGTCAGCCAGCTGCTTTGGAGGAGAGAAATCCTTCAGAAACACCCAACTTTGGGCAGTTGTTTCCAAAATTCAGTGATGTGGCGCTTCCATACCAACACACAAGCACATGTAACTTCACCACCTAATCCTGGCAAATTATAATTGAGTTAAAGAATAATGTAAGCAAATGAATTTCCTCTCCACTGTCAGTGGGACTGTGATTGGGTTATGCACAAATTCAGATTGATCTGCTAATATACATTTAGCTGTTCAACTCTGTACTTAATCACATTACCTCACGAGTCTTCCAGCATGACACATGGAAAATTATGAGGAATAACACATAATAGAATGTGAAATAAATCCTGTTAGTCCTAACATAGTTAGCGCTTTGCAGCAGACATCCATTTTATAGATTCAAGCTGGAGGAATACTAACTCCAAGACGATGACATGGTAACTGAGTTAAGGAGGAGAAAATGTGCTTAATGCTGACCTTTCTTGAAATGTGTCAACCCTAGCCTGATTACTTTGACTTCAGCTGATTAAATTTACTCCCTTCCACCAACTCGCAAGCCTTGGTGATGCATTATCATGCAAAGTTGAATGACAGTAATGGAGACCCTCCTCCTAGGCCCCCAGTTCCTGACAAATCGTTTCCCGAAGTAGCACAGTATTTATTTTCCTTTATGATAGAAATGTTTCTCTTTAGTTGCTATGAAATTAAGCCTTTGTAATTGGATTCTGGACTCTTTACTTTATGACTCTGCAAATATGAAATTAACTCCATCCCAAGAAATAATAGAGCAGTCTAAGTTCTAATGAGATTACCCCCATTTTAGATAATGATTCTGAATTTAATAAATTAAACAAAGCAACAATTAAGGACAGCCATTTCTTTCTCCTCCCGCCTCCCAACAGGAAGAGAAAGGAGCCATCTAGGAATTACAGGGGACAGACCCTCTGCGAGACATGGGTCTTAAGAAGGACTTTCATTGGGTTGCTCTGTTTTGAAAATACCTGCTCTCAACACTCTTTGAATGATGGAGTCCTTTTGAACAATATCTGGTGTCAAATTAGATGATTGGAAGGTGGCTTCTTGAATAAGAGGGGAGTTTGGTGGTCACCCAATGCTCAGACAAGTGCCTGTAATTTGATTTGTTTGTTTTTTGATCATTCTCCCTTTTTCATATTTGTTTTGTCATGTGTCCTTGTGATAAACAGCAGAGCTTCATTGATTTCATTTATCTTCAACAACCTCCTACTGGTTTTAGGAGCCACCGAAAGCACTCTTATAAATTTAGAGGGCTTAACATCCTAGAACTCAAGATTTCCCAATGTCTAGGTGACTGATTGATTTTCCAAGGCATGAGTCACATGACCAGGCACAAGGTCAGACGCGGACAATGCAATGCATGCTATACCATATACCAGTGCTCATCCTTTCACACAGAATATCAGTTGGTGGGAAGAGACAAGTACCACCACACACACTTCCAGGTTAGAGTGTGTTTCCAACTTGGTGGAAGAAATAATATTCTGTTGGGAGTGAGCTGCTCACACAAGGCAGGCACAGATGTAGCAGATCTGTGTGAGGCTTGTCCTGGCCCCGGAGTCCCCTGGGTGGGGTATAGGGGCAGGCTGCTGCAGTGATGCTGTCTACATAGAGAAAGGCCTTGTTTGTCTAGAAGCCTTAGTGTTGCTACACCATGAACTTCACACTCACTGAGCATCACCCTTCTGGAGAACCTGCTTTAACAGTCTACATGCTTCTTTTAAGGAACTTCCTATAAAGTCAAACTTTCCTGGGTTTTGAGCCAAATTCAGAATTTGTTAGGCCATATCTTGCCCTCCCTCTCTTCCTCCCTTCCCCCCCTTATTTGCTTCCTTCCCTCCCTCCCTCCAAAACATTTGTCAAATACCTAATGTATAGCACACACTGTCCTCAATGGATGGTGTGCTGTAAGTGCTCAATAAATGTTTGATTTTAGAAGGAAATAAAAGTTTGTCTAGTAATATCTCAGTGATCTGGAGAAGGTAGATTCTACCATAGGCTACCATGATAGCCTAAACTCCGCACATGGTCTATTCTATAAGCTATAGTTATGTTTCCTTCCATTAAACCTTTCTCTCCTCTACTTTGATTCCTTCATATTTTTGAACCAGATATTTAGATTCATTTTACCATCTTTCTTCATTTAATAGAGGTACTCATGTTTGCACAGAGAGGGAGATAAATAATGATAAGCTACTTTATATAGATTTCACTGTGAGTCTTCTTTGCAATAAAAGAGATGGTTCATCCCACTCATTCAGCAAATATTTATTAAGTGCATGCTACATTCCATGGCAGTGAGTTGCCGGATTTCACAGAGATTCAGTCTAGTGGAGGACAGAGACAATTTTCAAGTAACTTCATGACGGTGTGAAGAGAGTTTGGTTCAACAAATGAGAGGGGGCTATGTGAGCCCTCGGCCTGGGGTGAGTACAAGCCAGTGGTCAAAGGAGGCTCTCTGGAGGGAGATGCAACGAAGTTAAGATCCAGGACAGGAAACCAACCCTATCCCTTAGCATAGACTTTGAGAGCAGGCATTTGAAAGGAGGCACTGAGGGGGGACCTAAAACTAAAAGGAAGAGGAACAAGGTGGACACCCCACTGTTTCAGAATCACCCTCAGGTAACTCGCTGCTACCACAACTTGAACAGGGAAGAACACGTGCGATGCTTTGGCAGGGGTGTGCTGGAGCTTGGCGTTAATAAGCTGCCTCCTGGGCTTTCCTTATTTTTATCCTGTTGGTGTTTCAGTCTCTACTCAGGATCCTGGAGACCCCCAAAGGCCGTGCTGCTTTCAGAGTGTCCAGTGGCTTCAATGGACTCCTGTCCCTGCTCTCTGACCTGGAGGGGTCTCTCCAGGAGCCCCCGCTGCAGACGTGGGGGATGGTGTCCCCCAGCCAAACCCTGGACCTTGTCCTGCACACCCTCCGTGCCTTGTCCGCGGCGTTGCACCTGGACCCTGTCAATGGTGACTTCTTCAAGAGGAACGGGCTTTTTGAGAAGCTGGCCGAGGACCTCTGTTTGCTGGGCTGTTTCGGAGCCCAGGAGGAAGAGGGAGCCCCTCTGCACTCCGGGGAGGACACAAAGGCCAGGCCATTTGCTGATTTGCTGAGTGTGGCCTTTACCTCTGCCAGCTCACTCCCACCCAAGATACAGAGCTGCCTCCAGATCCTCAGCTTTCTGGACAGCATGGCCAGTGGCACCCTTCACCTACGCAGAGACCTGAAAGAGTCCCTGAGGGCTGGGCAGGACCCAGTTGTGAATGCCCAGAAGGAAGAAGCTGGCAGGGACCCCCAAGGCAACTTCAAGCAGTGGCCAGACCTGGAGGAGAGGTAGAGCTTTGCTGCCTGCTTCTGTAATCGGGTCATCAGTGTGTTTCTCTCTCCTGTTTTCTTCCAAATATCCTGTGCATGTGCAGTGGGTCGGAAGCCTAGACCTACAAACTGGGGTGGTGGGGTGGTGGTGGTGCAAAAATGTCACATGACCTTTTTCCCTTTAAATCAAGTTAACTGCGACTCCAATCTCCTCTACCTTGGGAGCTGGCAGAGCACCAATCTGAGTCAATACGTGATTAGAGGATGCTTTTGAGTTACACAAGACCCGGGGGGCTTCCCAGATCTTGGAAACCAAGGGCAGAACTCTGCCAATAAGCTCCCTTTCTCTTTTGCCATCTTGGCTGCTGCTCTGGGGAGGCTTGGTGCCTGTGCCCAGCTACCCTGGTGTGCCGGGCAGCCCTTGCCTTTGGGAGCCTTAGCTTACCCACTGCCCCCCCTTTCCCCTGCACTGCCGGGGCTGTGATGAGGTCCTTTGACTTGCAGGATAACCATGGTGTCCTCCCCCATCACCAGTTCCTCCTCTTCTTTCTCGCTGCTTCTACTCTTCGTAACAATCATCTCTGCTTACCTCATAGGCCCATCTCCTCCACGAGCCCAGACTTTTGTAGACACGCTTTACTTCCATTCCTGTAAGACAGACTTCCACTAAAGCAAGGGAGCACAAAGAACACCCTTCCTTCCTTTGGAGTGGCAGGGGAAGAAAATGAAAGAACATAACAGCAATTGTGGGTTATCTTTTTTATTCCCCTAAGGTAGCAATGACAAACACAAATTAATATTGCAATAAATTATCCTGCCTACCCCCTCTCTCCACACCATCTGACGTTTACCGCCACAGGATGCCCTTCTGAGAGACATTGTGCACTTTTATCCAAAGATGTTGGATTGGCCAGACTTCAGTGTTGGGAGTTGGTGGTGAGGGGGATGGATGCCAAATCTCCAGCTATGCAGATAATCATATTATTGTTCTTGTTTCTCCAGCTAATTTGCTAAATTAATTGGTTCTCTAATCTTGCATTTGCGCAGACACCAACTTGCTCATGAAGTATTTATTGCTGGCTTTGATTTGCTAATTTTTTAAAAGGACTTTTGTTCATGAGAAAGTTTGGCCTTTCACACTCTTTTCTTGACTATTTTTACTATCAAGTTTATGGTAGCAGCAGAACGCGAGTTGGGCAGTGTTGTCTCTTCTATTCTCTGGAAGACTTTATGTAAATAAAGATTACTGTTTCTATTCCTTAGCTTTGTGATAGAATTTGCCAGTAAAACCTCATAAGCCCAATGTTTTCTTGTAAGAAGATTTATTTTTGTGAGAATAAATTTATATTTCTTCTTGAATCATTCTTAGTAATTTTTCAAGTTAATTTTCCCATTCCAAGTTTCAATTTACTGGCATAAGGCTGTTCACAATATCTTTTTAACTTTTTGCTCCTGACATGATCGTTTTTGTCTTTTCTCTCCCCTGCCCCCCAGCACCCCAGCATTCTTGACAGAGTTTTATTTATCAGCATGTCCCATGAGCCAACTTTCAGCTTTTCCTATCTCTCCTACATACATTTTCTATTTCTGTTTTCATTTGTTTGTTCTTATTATGTCCTCTACTTTCTTTGGGTTTATTCTGGTATTCTTCTCCTTAATTTAATTGATTAGGAGACTCATTTTCAGTTCTCTTTTTAAATGCAAATTTCTCTGTCACTTTACTTTAGCTGTATCACCCAAGTTTCATTATGTTGCACTTTCAATATTATTTAGTCCTAAATATTTTAATTTCCTTTGTGACTTATAGTTTGATTCTTGAATCTTGTTTGAATTGTGAATTTCCAAAGTTACAGAGTATTTTTGGTCATTTTCCATTGTTGTTGAGTTCTAATTTTATCATCATGAGAGAAGATGGACTGTATGATGGTAATCCTCTAGAAATTAGTTGAACTTGACTTTGTGGCCTCCAATGTGATAAATCTTCATAAGTGTTCCGTTGGTGCTTGAAAAGAATGCATGTTTTCCAGTTGTTACACTCAATGTTCTATTTCTGTCCTTTACATCAAATTTGTCTACTGTCTTCTTCAAATTTTCAGATTATTTAATCTGCTTGACACATCAGTTACTAGGCTATGTTAGATATTTTTCATTATAGTGATAGATTTATCAATTTCTGTTCATTTTTGCCTTATATTCGAGGCTATTAGAATCACACATATTTACAGTTTTTATATCATCTTGTGGAATCAAAAAATTTCACCTTATATGGTGACCTTCTTTATCTCTAATAATACATTTTGCCATAAAAACAATGTTGTTTAATCATAATAAGGCTACACCAGCTTTCTTTTAGTTAGTATGTGCCTGGAATTTTTTTTTAAAAGTCTTTTCTTTCAAGCTTTCTGGATCCTAATGGTTTAGGTGTTTCTTTTGTCAACACTAAAGAGCTAGTTTTGTTTTCACTTTACTTTATCATTTAACCCAGCATGGTATTTTTTGGTTGCTGAAGCATGTGCTTTGTTTACATTTTTATAATTATTAATATGTTTGGAGTGATTTCTACTTTGCTCTTTTGTATTTTCTATTGTCCCACTTTTTCTTTTGATTTTTTCCTTGTCTTCTTTTGAATTATTAGAATTTTAATTTTTAAATTTAATTTTTCCCATTGACTAATTTGGATCTTATACTCTGTTAGTCTTTCAGTGGTTTACCCTTCTAGTGGTTACCCTAAAATAATTTAACAGTCATCCTCATAATGTCTAACTATTTACTCTGTTTACTATTGCTATTTATCTTTAACATCTTTCCAATACATATGTGTTACATATGTAATATGTAAGCACTTAATTTAACTCTTAAATGTATACTTGTCTTTCTAATGTATATATTACTGTTGCCCAATATTAATTTTAGTCCATCAATTAGTCTAATTGTAATGCGGGGCTAAATTAATTAGTCCATCAATCTAATCTAAATCTAATTTTAACTAATCCATCAAATAAGGCATTTATTCATGTATTTTTTTGTTAAGGTATAATTGACATATAACATTATATTACTTTCAGGTATAAAACATAGTGATTCAATATCTATCTATATATATTTTAAAGACTTTATTTATTTGAGAGAGAGAGAGAGAAAACCCTCAAGTGGGGTGAGGAGCAGAGGGAGAGAATCTCAGGCAGACTCCTCACTGAGTGTGGAGCTCGACGTGGGCCTTGATCTCACAACCCATGAGGTCATGACCTGAGCCGAAACCAAGAGTTGGACACTCAACTGACTGAGCCACCCAGACACCCCTCAATATTTGTATATATTGGGAAATGATTACCACAGTAAGTCTAGTTATTAACACTCATCACCACACTAGTTACAATTTTTTTTCTTGTGGTAAGAGCTTTTAAGATTTATTCTCTTTGCAACTTTCACATATACAATATAGTATTATTAACTGTAGTCACCATGCTCTACCTTATGTTCCCATGACTTATTTATTTTAAAACTGGAAATTTGTAACTTTTCACTCCATTCATTTATTTTGCCAACCCTCTATCCCCTGCTTCTGGCAACCACCAATCTATTCTCTGTATCTATGATCTCTTTTTTTTTAGATTTCACATATAAGTGAGATCATATGGTATTTGCCTTTCTCTGAACTATTTCACCTAGCATAATGCCCTCAAGGTCCATCCATGTTGTCACAAATGACAAGGTTTCCTTCTTTTTTTATGGCTGAATAATAGTCCATTGTGTATATATACCACATCTTCATCCATTCATTCATCAATGGTCACTTAGTTTGTTTCTGTATCTTGGCTATTATAAAGAATGCTGCAATAAACATAGGGGTGCATGTATTTTTTTAAGTTGGTGTTTTCATTCTCTTCAGATAAATACTCAGAATTGCTGGATCATATGGTAGCTCTATTTTTAATTTTTCGAGGAATCTTCATATTGTTTTCCATAATGGCTCTACCAATTTACATTCCCACTGACAGTGCATGAGTGTTCGTCACCAACACTTGTTATTTCTTATCTTTTTGATGATAGCCATTCTAACAGGTGTTGTGGTGGGGGCTCATTGTGGTTTTGATTTGCATTTCCTGAATGATTAGTGATGTAGAAAACCTTTTTATCACCCATATATCTTCTTTGGAAAGATGTCTTTTCAGATGTTCTGACCATTTTTTTAAAAGATTTTATTATTTGACACCAGAGGAGAGAGAGAACGCACAAGCAGGGGGAGCAGAAGGCAGAAGGAGAGGGAGAAGCAGGCTCCTGCTGAGCAAGGAGCCCAATGCGGGGCTTTATCCCAGGACACTGGGATCATGACCTGAGCCAAAGGCAGATGCTTAACCAACTGAGCCACCCAGGCGCCCCATTCTGCCCATTTTTGATTGGATTTTTTTGGTATTGAGTTGTATGAGTTCTTTATATATTTTGGGTATTGACCCTTTATCATACATGCAATTTGCAAATATTTTCTCCCATTCTGTAGGTTGCCTTTTCATTTCACTGATGGTTTCCTTTGCTGTACGGAAGGTTTTTAATTTGATGTAGTTCTACTGGTTCATTTTTGCTTTTGTTGTTTTTACTTTTTGTGTCAAATCCATAAAATCATTGCCAAGACCAATGTCAAGGAGATTACCACCTATGTTTTCTTCTATGAGCTTTATGGCTTCAGGTCTTATGTTCATATCAAGTCTTTAATCCATTTTGGGTTCATTTTTGTGTATGGTGTAAGGCAGTGGTCTGGTTTCATCCTTTTGTGTGTGGCTGTCTAGTTTTTTCTCAACACCATTCATTGAAAAGACTGTCCTTTCCTCACTATATAGTCTTGGCTCCTTTGTCATAAATTAATTGACCACATATATGTGGGTTGATATGGTATCTCTATTCTGTTCCATTAATCTATGTATCTTATGCCAATGCTGTACTATTTTGATTACTCTATCTTTTGTAATACCATTTGAAATCAGGGAGCATGATGCCTCCTGCTTTGCTCTTCTTTCTCAAGA